TAGCCCCACAACGTCCCACTATCTTTACCACCTTTCGTGTCTGCAGCCAGATGCGAGAAGGTGGTTGCTCACAAAGAATAAATAAATAAAATAATTAAAATATATATAAAATAATAGAATACATTACATCAATTGGGGAGACAGCAAAACTCTCCTTGAAATTAGCATTCCAGCCTCCAATATGACGTTTCGACATAAATACCAGGATGTTAAGGTATTACTGTACTAAGCCCAACCAATATTACGAGTATAGCTCCCATTTTCCACCCTTCCATGGTACGATCTGGATCTTCAATGGTTCTAAAGAGATCCACACAGTAACAGGTCTTATATAGGGAAGGTGATATAACTACCACACATAGAAAACCCCACAATATGAATCACATGGTTATAGCTTGTTTCGTTACTTTATTAGAAACCATAGAAATTCACGAGATGCCGTATTCGCGAAGAAACTTCAATCATACTGATTACATACAGTAAACATACACAAATATAAAGAAGTATGCCATATAGAACACAAGAAAACTAAAGAGTGATTTACAGGTTAAGGTAAACAAATCTAATTACCCAAATACCGCTTCTGACATAACTAAGATTTTTTAACAAACCACGTGATTTGATCGGGAGAGATTGCAAATCTTCCTAGTCAAGTGAACATGTTAATTCAGGAGCACTTTTTTTTTTTCGTAAGAAACGCTTTTAGCTGGAAAGTTGAAACGTGCAGTCTAAACTAAGCTTTTTATTTTTGATGCTGCAAGGGATCAGAAATCACTATCCACGAGAATTTGTAGTGAATAGCAAGAGACATGTTTTGATTTTACTAGTATTTGCCTAGATTAATCTTGCCCTATAGTTCCTTTTGCGCGTTATGTCTTTACCACTTTAGGGTCGGTAACGACGAGCTCCACCTCTCCTATTTTATTTTTCGGTTGGCAAACACCAAATTATAATGGAGCCCGAAATAATTGTAACGACAAAGAGAATGCTACTTAGTGTATGCATGCAACTACAGCTGCGCATGCACTCAGTGATTAAAATAGGCATCGTATTTAATTATATATATATATATGTATATAATGTGTGTGTGTGTGTGTAATTACTTATTTTTCTTCATAGCTTCATCTAAGTATAACAGATGGTTACTGTCTCTCGGAGACCATGTATGGCATATTGATTAACAAAAAACATTTATCCATGACTTCTTCCCCGAGTAAAGTTTGTTTAGAAAAACTAACAGGCACGTGTATGTTAATCTGCCATGCATGATGCATTAAATTTGTATTTCGCTAATTGGTTTCAAATACAATGAATTAAATTATAAACGAAAGTTAGATAGTTAGTACATTTTACAAACTTAGGTTGTTAGTTGTTCAAACACGTATTAATTGATATTCTGTTGCGTGAAAATAAGAGCGTGGAAACACAACAAAAATAATCGCACAACCTACTGTACCGGAAGTGCATCATGTTTATACATCATTGTCACAGAATGTGACAGAGGAAGTAGTCACAGCATTAAAAAAGCAGAATTGATGAGAGTTTTGTACGTTTATATAAATACTCAATTTCTATACAGTAATTTACTTGTCTGTACTGAAATTAGCTCGTGAAACACAACACGCTAACAAAATCGAATAGGAGGCTTTACTTCAAGGACTCCAAAAGCGCTATTCTTATATTTTAGTTCCCACTGCCGGTAGGTCAGCGGTAGGTTAACGGACTTACAATTCTAAGATTCTCCGCGGTGGATAGCGTGCAGATAGCTGTTGTGTAGTATAGCACTAATGAAACTTATGTTTGGATATTAGCTATTTCAAAGGCTAATGCGATTTACTTATTTATTGAGCTTTTATATTTAAATCACCCTCTCATTTGCAACTTATATTTGGTGTAACGTTACCTGTAAGCAAACATATAGCCTTCGTCAGAACAGACACTATTTCACTAATAACGTAAACAAAACAGGAATGAGCCCTCAATTCATGTTTCGTCAGTTCATAATAATTTATTCAATAAACTCAATGGACAGTATTAATGCTTTTCGTTTTAACTTTGGAAATGATTATTAGATTAAACAGGTGATCATTATCGTAATAAGGCAGGCAAATTTTATCGGAACAAGTAGGTGATCAGTACCATTGTCAAGTTTGTACAAGATGTGGGTGAACAGTACCATTGTAAGACAATTAAGTTTGTACTGTACTAGTTGTTTCTCAGAACTATAGTAAGACAACCAAGTTTATTCCACGTAAATATGTATTCAGTATGGTGACAGGACAGTCGTTTATGCAAGGTACTTATAGTTGTGATTTATATAGGCAACCAAATAACAAGTTGGTACGTGTATGAGTGATGATAGATGTGGCTTTTGATGGGAACATACATTAAAAATTAAAGGAACCACAACATATTTGTGTGCTTTGCTGTTTGATTACTGCATTTATTTGTATGGGTGATGAGATGTTATTTCTTCATTAGACTTTCCATAAGGTGGCATGCCTTCTTATTGGCCAGCAAGACTGTTTAATCTAGGAATATTAAAGTTAAAAAATTAAAAGTAACTCAACAAGTAATACTTGATTTTCTTACCAGAAAGTAAGTAAATGACATGACAGATTGTAACTTACAAGTGGTCTGTGTAGAGTATATCCATTGAAATGCATTTTTTTAACAGTACTTGCATCATGTTAAAATAATTTTTCAGGATATGAAAGCACACTCTTGTAATAAACTGTTTTTCCTATAGCTCATATGGGGAGACTTTCAGGTAACTGTTGCCTATAAACACATGAATATCCCCAAACCATTTGAGTGCCTTTTTATAGTGGACATAAAAATACAGTAAAAGGATTATCATAAGAAACAGAATTTGAGAATTTATATTTTCCCCATAACTGTATGTTTAGGAGATGAAACACCTACTTGAATGATCAGTAATAAATTCTGAAAGTTTTAAAATACCCTTTTTTAAATACTGACTTAAATAGTTTAGAAATTGATAACATGAAATGAACAGCTCCTCAAATAATTGATTGATTCATTCATGTATATATGAAAATGACAGATCTTCCCAAGATCATATGTGCGTCTTAAAAAAACCTAAGGTTTTTTAGGTTTCAGCACCTACAATTTCTGTGTGTGTGAGGCATTCATAAAATGTACACAGTGATGGGTCTGTAGTTTCCACAAACTTTTGAATTTTACTCCTGGAGTTGATTAAATTAATGTTACACAATAAAACAGTTTACATGCAAGAAGTATTACTAGTTGAAGACTTGATGCAACTATAAATTGAGTAGGAGTTAAATAGGAAAGTAAAATAATGAGATTTAGTAAAAGTATCAGTTTTTGTTAATTAAGTTGATTTTGTAGTAACACTTACTGTATCCATGGTCTGTTTCAGCTGTTCATGTTCAGATTGTGGCCGTATCTGAAGAGGTATAAAGATATTTACTAACTTGTCAGACCTGGTGTATGTATGAACTTTTTTTTCAAGACCAATAAGAATGCTTTAACCTACAAATTACAGGCTTGTATTCATACTGTTCACTGATGTATTCATATATATTTTTTTTCTCCTGTTACAATACTTAATGTAAAGAACTGATCAAAACAGGTGGATGGAATCATTCATTTTCTGTATCAACTATTTATGAAGACTATTTATTAGTAATTAATGGGATTAATTGCAATACTGATATATATGTAATTTTTTTTTCATGACATTTTGTGGATCCTACAGCCAATAAAGTGAGACTTGTATTAAAAGTTTACAAATGTGCATTTAAAAAGGTAATGGGGTTAGGAATCTCAGCAAAGTACGTTTCTTTTGCTGTACAAATGTGAATCTTTAGCAAACACACTGAAAGATGTGTTGATAGATAATCTTTCATAAAATCTCTATATATTAGCCACATTGTTTAATACAGTCAACACTTTAAGCTATTTAACATTTATAAAATTATTCCTTAATGCAGGAAGCTCCAGAAAATTTAATTATTACAATACATATTCTTTTTCTATGGGGCAATTGTTCAGTATCTTGACAAATCTTCTATGTTTTATTCATGTCTGGTTAGGTTGGGGTTTGGAAAGTCTGGACCGGTTATTCCTGTAAGAAATGGTTTTTATTTATTGTGGGATTTTCCATAAACTGTGCAACATGCAGGTACATCCTGTTCAATATTAAAATATGAAGGAAGATTTCTACAAAAGTAATATTATTGTAATTATTTTAAAAGATCATGTTACCACTTTTTGTTTAAATACCAGTTGTGTGTCTTTCCTGTTAAATGTTATTCATACCCTTTTTACTGTTTGTAATACTTTTATTAGAAAAGAGAAAACAATGGCTCCATGTAGCAATCTCTTTTTACTTCTGCTGTAAAGAAAAATAATATAACAAGTTGCTTAATACCATGTATTCTATATATAACACACACACACTCACTCACTCATATTCAACACCTTAATTGTTATTTGTGAAGTATTCTTACCCTAAAAACTAGCTTGGTTTGATCAAGTAACATCATATTATTTCTTTTCATTTCAGGCTTTTGCTATGATGGATACATCATTGCTAAAGGTTCCAGGTGAAATCACTTTCTTCCTGCAAGCAGGATTGTTCAAGGACACTGTTTCAGTGGATGTCAGTGAGCTCAACCTTAAAAAACTCAAAGACTTGGCATGCAACTTCATCGACAAGAAGGTAGGTGGAATTATGATTTGTATTTGATATTTGCTCAGAAACATTTTAAAAGACTGAAACTGGAAATAATTTAGAAAGTTGGAAAATCTGAAATGGGCCTTGCAAATTTTGAGACCATTGGTGAATTGAGTAGAATCACTAAAAAAAAAAATAGGTAAGAGCAAAACATTGAACAAATGAATACACTAGTAACTAAATGATATGTAATAAAAATATATTTGTTGACATATAAAGTAATAAATGTTTTCATGCCTTTGTGTCTGATGCAGAACATTGCATATTCTGTGAGAGGAAATCCAATTAATTTGAGTTGTCACCATGAATAATAGTATATTAGTTGTGTCACTTGTTGATTACATAAATCTGAATCTTGATACTGAAATGTTACTAAATTTTATAAAAGTCATCAGGGTTTCCATATATAATGGCAAGTTGGATGCCAGAATTTTTACAATGTTTAAAACAAAGAACCATCCTATATGAATTAGTCAGAGAAATGTAGCTCAAAAGAAAATTAGAAATGGAAAAGATACCACTAATTATTCACCATTTTACCAAAAAATGTTTTACAACAAGGACAACAACAAAAATTCACTCACACACACACACACACACACACACCCATATACCATCTATACTATGATTACATTTTTCATTTTGTAAATGTTCTTATTCAGGAAATGACAACTGTGGTATTTTGTCTTGTACAGTGGTGAAGAATAACCATGATAAAGTAATGGGACTTAACTATAATGATTTAACACAGAAACACTTCAAGTTCTATCAGTGCATTAGATTCTCATAACAAAACAATTCTATTACTAGGACGAAATATAGTTGTAAAGCATAATTTTCAGTTAAAAAACAATAGTTATTTCTTGAGAAATACAAAGAAATCAGAATGTTTATTTAATATAAATCTCTGTGTAATAAAAAAAAATTAATATCAATTAAATAACTTTTAGATACATCTACATGATGAACATTTTTGTTTAATAAAACCTTTGTTATGCATAACACCTTTTAAATTAATAATTGTATATGATACATATTGAAATTTAATGGTACACAACAAGGAAGACAAAATTTGAATCATATGAAATTAATAACTATATTTTAAGTAATATTAATGAAAAATGGGAATAAAGACATTTTATTTTAGACAAGGAAACATTTCTGTTTAAAATTGTAATTTAAACTGAGTAGTAATTATTCAGGAATTTGATTTCTCTATAAATTTTTGTGATAATTCTTCTGCTTTAAAACTACTCTTGTGGTCAGACACTGTAATTAAATAATGCTGTGTTTGGTGTGTTTAATCTTAAATAATTACAAAATTTTTGAACAGGTGAACCATGTACAAAGTTATTAAAGCTGTTGTGTTAAATGTTAAAATACGGCTTATGGATTTGTTGTACAATTGCTATAGTCTCTTTCAACTTTTTTTAAAAAGTGAGTTTTTCACGTGTATGCTTCATGCTGTTCTTATTTAAAAAATAAAATGATCCATCACATTAAACTTCCAGTCACTCACTAATACAGTTTCTTACCATACAGTAATTTGGGTTGTCTCTTTTGAAGCAGATCAGTAATCTTGGAATCAGCTGTTACTACCAGATGTGAAATTAAAAAAAAATCTGTTCAAGATGATTTTACTTAATAGTAATAAAAGTTATTTTCTTGAACTGTTCATCCATGAAGTACAGGTAATGTTTAAAACATGTAACTTTTGGGTTTGTATCTTTGTGATAGTATTGGAATGGTTAATGTAGTACTTTAAAATTTTATATTAATGACTTTGCTAAAACATTATTGTTTAAACCTTGTCTCTGGGATAATTTAGAATTGAAAATGTGTCATGCTCAATTTGTGTGTAAATCCAGTGTGAAAAAAATTTATAATTCAATGTGGCTAACTATGGAACTAAAGTACATTCCATATGTTTGAAGTTGAGTAATTAACAGTATATTTTATGTATGTTATGTGGAATGATGTAATGAAATTAATACAATTCCATGTGTTTGCCATGTTTAAAGCTCACACTAATATGTAATGATAATAATAATACAAAATCTAAATATTGTATGCATGTAAAAAAAAAATAGCACTGTGTTCCTTAAAATTCTGGAAAAAAAAAATTTGTTTTGCCATGCACCTGTGAATGTTGAAAATGTACTGTTAATTGAATTACTTTAGTTCATTTATTGTTAATTAAGTAATACATTTTTATCTGCACTATGAAAACCAAAATACTTATAAGTAAATAAATGTATGATCATTTAAGTTGTCCAGATGTTCACTTACACTTTTCAGTGTGACTGCTACTCTGAACTTTTTGGATTAAATGACAAAAAAATTGATTATGCATAAAGGAAAGTGTAAATGTACATGTCTGTGTTCACAGTTAGTCAGTAAAGAAATCTGTGCCAGGCACATGAAGTTTCTCCAGTGCAACAGAGCATGTAATCTTGTTTGAACCACAGGCATAACACAATCATTAATTCTTATACCCCTCCATGTAGTTCCCTGACCACGGCTTGAATCGCCTGAGTGAGCGCCTTATCCTATTTCGTCATGACTACAACTCAGAAAACATGTTGCTTCCAATCAGTGCAGCCACCGACATCACAGAGAACACTGTTGTGGAAATCATTCTGTCAGGTATTTTAGATTTTTAGTTTGTGTTCTGTATAATGCTAAAACTGACTATAGCTGCATACTGCTAAATTTTGATAACAATGTGGAAAAGTGATAAAATTCATAGATACACGCTCAGACATACATTTGAAAGACCAATAAAACAACTCTGAAGTGGCACCTGTGATAAGGTATTAATTTTAATGGTTATTTTAAAAAAATTGTTTTTCAGTTTGCTGTAAATGTTCCATGAGGCTTGTGTACATTTTTTTTTTAAAGTGTATTAAAGTATGTTATGTTAACTCTTAATATGTTCACCAATTACTAAAGGCTGTATTTAGTGAAAGCTAATTACTGCTATTATGCATTGAAGCTGTGGACTATTGATACTGAAATGTTACTAAATTTTATAAAAGTCATCAGGGTTTCCATATATAATGGCAAGTTGGATGCCAGAATTTTTACAATGTTTAAAACAAAGAACCATCCTATATGAATTAGTCAGAGAAATGTAGCTCAAAAGAAAATTAGAAATGGAAAAGATATGACATTTTTGTTTGTTTTTTTGTGAGATGCTATTACAGTATTTCAGTTTTGGTGTTTTTAATTATTAATAGTAATAATTAAAGTATACTTACAATGTGTTTAGTGGGATATGACAGCTAAAAACGTTCAATAGTATAATTTGTAGAAAAACATGTAAATAGTTATAACAAAGTGGTTAAAAAATTTCACTGTGGCAATATGAATAGTATAGGCTTTGGTTCCTGAAAGCAACAGATTTTTAGATACAGCTTCACACCATCATAATGTAATTTCACTGCATGGTTACAGAATATATCACTATCAAATTTCACACATTGAACTAGAAAATTTTCTCAGTATAATAGCTCAAAAACATTATTGTCACTATTATGGACGTGAGTATTAAATGAAATTACCAAAACTGCAATGGCTAGAATACTTTTAACACAGTATATAAATCTATAGAATATGATAACCATAACTGTTGGCATTATTTATTTATTTCTAAAATCACAAATTTCGCCACAACTCTGTTGCGCTAATGCTTTTGTCATGCTATTTGTGACTACTTTGTGTGAAAAACTTATCTATTTTGCATTTATTTATTTTCTTCTACATGGTATACGTTTATATACACAAGAGTGAGATACATGAATCAAGAAATATAAGATAATTACAGCTGATCTTTCAGTCTTACTTTGATTCATAAATGTAAGATTAGATGTCATGTTTATTCTGTAATGTGTAAAACTCCTTATTGTGTGTTTCACAGTAAATAACCCAACTGATGATATTCAGATAAGACCACATGGCCTCATGGTGCATTCATATAAATCCCCAACTTTTTGTGACTTTTGTGGAGAATTGCTGTTTGGACTGGTGAGACAAGGGCTTAAGTGTGAAGGTAAGACTTTGGAATACAAGAAACAGTGTTGAACTTTGTAATTAAGCAATGCAGTAAACCTGTAATAATAATCCAAGACTTCATCTTTTTTCTTTTTTTGTAGACAGTTTGTTTGAGCCACTGATGATAAATTTCCAATATGAAATAGAACAAGTAAATAATTTTTTTTATTTTAAGCTTAGTCATGAAACATGGTTTGAATGTGCAATTTAAATGTAAGAAGTCCTAGAAAAATAAAATTGTAATTGTGTTATGCAGACTTTCAGCTCATTCACTCATCATTAAATGGTTTTATGAATTATCGGGTGTATTGGTTTTGAATAAAAACCGATGGCTGGAGAAACAAATTGTTTGGATTTTTCAATAAGGGATTAATTATGAAAATAACAAAACAATTTTAAGTTTATAGCAACAAAAGCTAAGGTTGGTGAAATAATTGAGGTGTGAAAGTAATTTAAATGTTGTACATTTTTGTCAGATGCTGTTTACAGGTAAAATAAGTAATAAAAGTAAAACAAAAGTACTGCTTATAGAACTACAGTTCAAGTCTTGAACTATAAGTTTGCTGGTGTAACTTAATTTATAAATACTGAAAACTTGCTTCTTTTGTGGAAAAACTTGTAACATTTAAGAATATGTTGTTTTGAGAATTTGTAAATTTATACAACTTGCAAACTGTTGGATTATTTAAGTGTCTTGCTGTTGAAGAACAATAGGCTGATACAAAACTTGTTTGTTTTTTTGTGAGGTGCTATTACAATATTTCAGTTTTGGTGTTTGTTTTTAATTTATTGTTCTCATTGAGACAATGTTGTTTCAGCATTTCATAACATTAACAAAACAGAGCTTTTGAGATAGCTGTCATGTCTCGTAACACTTAAGTGTAGACATTTGTGCGTGGGTGTTATGATCATTATATAAATGGCATTAACAGTTGACGAAAAGGTTAATAGGTAACATGTGATAGAAGTTGCTAGAAATTGTTTGTATTGCATTCCAAAGTTTCTGCTTACTTGTACAAGTGGTGTAACTACATTTTGCAGGGTATATTTTATAAATTTATTTCAAATGTATCTTTAATAAATCTCTTTTTACAGTTCTGAATGCTTGAAGATTATTGAAAGTGTTATGTGTGATGCAAATTATAATTCAGAAATAGCTTTAAGTTGCTTGTCCTGAATTATTGTTTATATATTTATCGTATTGTTACACACATTTTGAAATAGTAAATATGAATGAGTATAAAACGGTCTCAAATAATGGTCAAGAGTATTTCATGGTTCAATGATTATGCAGTTATTAAAAACAATTTCTTAAAATCTTAACGTTCTTAGTAAGTGTCTAACATAAAATTGTTTTTCTTTGTGTTAAGGACATCTTTTCTGAAAGTTACAGTTGTGATTATAATAATTATATTCTTAACTCTCTTCTCTTTATGCATTTTATTTATTTATTTTTGTTTAAATACCAACTTTATAAGTTTCTTTGGAATTTTTCTTTAAAATGTAATATGACAGTCATACAAGAGACTATAAACATGGAAAATAATATTCAGAGATTCAAATATTTTTGTCTCTTAAGTATAAAGTGTATGTAATCCTAATTTATGTAGTAATATAAGAATAATTTATCTTAATAGTATTACATGACCTGTCACCATTTTCTCTTATTTGTCATTCAGTACTTCATACTATTGACTAGTATTGCCCCTTGTATATGATTGTCAAGTCATCTAAACCATTTGAGTTGTAAGATTGTCATTAAAACTACTGCAGTAGTCTATTTCACATCATAGAAATTCAAGTTTTTATAGTTAATACAGAATACCATAATATGCAATTGTCTTTTTTTTTAACAGGGTGTGGTTTAAATTTCCACAAAAGGTGTGCTTATAAAATTCCAAACAATTGTACAGGCACATATAGACGAAGGTCCTCAACTTACCTCTATCCCCGAACTCCTATGGAACTGGTGAGGACCACAAGCAGTGGGCCAGTATTTTCAGATGATATTTCTGTGAGTTAAAGTTGTATTATAGGAATGGCATTTCTCTAATTGGATTTTAGAATTTTAAGTCATTTTTTTATTTATTTAGGTGCAAAAAAAATATCAAATGTTAAATTAAAATATTAAATGCATCTTGTCCACTAACATTAGATTTTCATCACAGCAGATATTTATTGCCCTTGTTGTTTGTCAAAGAGTTCAACTGATATACTTAAGCTTAAGTATAGGCTGTGATGGATTATCAGATCTTTACTCTCAGGATTTTGAATTCTTTCTAATTAAATCTTTTTATATAGTTGATGCCGATTTCTTCAGGAAAAGAAAAAAAATCTTCTGTCAACATGGGCAGGCCACCGTGGGTTGACAGAGAGTTGGCAGGAAGAATCAAAGTTCCACATACCTTTGTTGTACATTCATACACTCGTCCCACTGTGTGTAAGCACTGTAAAAAACTCCTAAGGGGTTTGTTTCGCCAAGGCATGCAGTGCAAAGGTAAAATTATGTACAACTGTTTATTTAATTTTATTAGTGATACCTTTCGTTATTAGAGGATTGATGTTCTTTACAATACTAATTTTTCGTGTTTTTTTGTAAGATTAGTTTTATTTAGCATCAATCGGGGCTTAGACAAGAGCTTAGACCATTTTACAATAAAGTAACTTGCACAGATAATTATATTACCCATCATTTTAAGAATATTGTTAACTTAGTTACTTACAAGACTATCACATAGATGTATTGTTATTGACTGATGACTTATTTATGAAACCAAAACCTTTTACCAGGGTATTTAAAAACATAAGTTATTGAAAAGAAAAAAGTTTTGGTTACATTACTTCAGCATAATCAGGCACAAGTTGGGAAAAAAACAACTCATGACTGTAAAGAAACCCAAATTTTCCCAGAATGTTTAAGAACCACATAAATCTTCCTCCTTAAAAAAAATTAATGGAGGCTGAGATCTGAATGTTTAGTAATTTTGAGTTTAACTTGTCTATCTTGGAAAGTAATTTTTACCTTGTAGACAGTGTTTGTTTGCTTTGTTTTAGCTGAGCTCAAAAATAACAAATTTAGATAGTACATTTCTGTGTGGAAGAACTTGTGTGAAGAAGAAGCACAGTTTTCCCAACACAGAAACAAAAATTACAATCAATAAATTGAAACTGTTAACCACACCCAAGAAAGTGAGATTTTTTTAAAAATAACTTCTGTAGAATAGCTACCTTAACTTCAAATCTAAATTGCATAGGTAAAAGACGTAATATCTTGGGATTTTGGAATGTATAGCAATGAAAAAAGAAATGAACATAGAATTGAAATGAAACTCAAAACTTTTTTTCCTCTCTTTTTCAGATATGCATGCTTAAAACTAAGTTATCTTTATTCTCTTTGACCTTCTCATAAAATTAGTATGAAATGAAATAAATTATGTTGTAAATCTTGAGCAAAATCTCAGCAAACAAACATTTTAGAATGTGTTGTGCCTCCTGTGTAATTAATTTATTGTTGTACCATGAAATCTGTTCATATCCAAAATAGCAAGAAATCGTTTTCTTTGATCAATGAATTGAAGATTGAATATCCAGAAAGAAATATTTACATTTTTAAGTATTTTTCTTTTGCATAAAATGATTGCTAAACCAAGCTTTCAAAGTGTGTGTTATTATATATTATATTTTTTTCCCAATTTGTCACACATGCACTACACAGAAAGTATGCCACTTTACATGTTATAGGTAATTTTACTTTTGATCTTAAAGCTGAATTCTTCACAAACTGTGATAATTCTCATTTCCTTGAATGTGCTTAATAGGTATAATGTAATAATTGTGACTGTCTTGTGTAGAGAAACAGGATATCTTACTGAAAGAACAAAAGGTCACAGTTGACTTAATCCTCATGCTTTTTGAGCACAACAAAAACAATAGTATAGTCTTCAAAGTAGAATTGTTCTTTGAAGAAAATAACATGAAAAAAATCAGTGTTAGAGCATATTAAGATTGACAATAATACACACCTATGATCTCCACTTTATTTTATTTTTTTAAGTGGCACAGATTCATACTACTCTACAATTTGATATTTTAAATAATGATTTTGTTTGAGTCTAATAATGTTGAATTAATGTTAGAAGGTGAACTCTTTATCTAAAATTACTCTTAACTGAAATTATCCAATATGAATTTGGTTGTGACTATACAATAAATCCTTGGGCCATTTTACTGGGGGGTTTAAATCATCTTGGTTTTTCTGAAATTCTCACTAAGTAACAGTTTATCAGAGAAAACAAAAAATACAGAAAAATTGTAACCTGTCTAAACATTTATATCACCAAAACCACTTGACTATTTAATGTGTTTCTGTGTTACTAATTTGTAGGAGTTACCAGAATCACAGTGCACCAGTTACAGCATGACTGACTGTTTCAATTCTTGACAGATTTCTACAGGTGAAGCTAAGAACAAGAAAAAAAGAATGTTTTGTTATATACTGTTTTTCTCTTTTAAAGATTGCAAGTTAAATGTTCACAAGCGGTGCAGTGAAAAAATTCCTATGGATTGTACAGGAGAAGCTCCAAAAGAATGGTGTAAGTACTTCAATCATTGAAACTCTACTAGATACCAGGGCTATAGAAGAGTCGTGTATAATAAGATTCAGTATGTGTGTGTGTGTGTGTTATATAACTCCTAAACTGCTGATTACACTGACTTCCAAGTGGTACCAAACAACTTGTCTCGGTCCTAGGGTTTGCACAAAGGTAAAATTTTTCACCTCACCACTTGGGGAACCTGGGTATTTCCTAAAAACACCTTCTCCTAAACTACTGGACTCACCAACTTCTAAATGGTGCCAAATGTACTGTCTCGGCCCTAAGGTTTGCACAAATGTAAAACTTTTCACTTAACCCCATAGAGAACCCAGATATTTTGTGAAAACACTTTTACGAGGATTTCCTAAATTGGACCCCAAATTTGTCATGGATTTAAGTTAGAGCACATAAAGAAGTAGGCCTACTAATTACCATTCATAACTTAAAATAAATTTGCATTATAGTGACAACTATTATTAAACTAAAAAAATGCAAAATATTAGTTCAAGCAAATTTGTTGAACTACTGTTTTGCACTTTTTCAGTTTAATGAAAATTTTTAAACAGTCAAAGATAGAGGGGTGATGAAACCTGTAAATATGGGCCATAGGCCCATGGGTTTGCTTGTTCACAATGTGTATGTACCAAAGGATTTAGCTGGTAAACCAAAAATCTTTCTCAAAAATAAAACGTTGTTTTTACTAAATTAAATATTGAAAATTCTAATACACTGTAAGCTTTGCCACATATTGTTACATATTAGAAGTTGATATTAATATTACCAAGTTTACACAAAGTGTCACTATCAGAGGCATTGCTAGATGCTTAAAAGATATGGGGACTCGGGTCCCATAGGCATGGAAATGTCCAGCGTTTCAGTATGATATTGATCATGGTTTTCTATTCTGATTTTTCAAGATGCTAACTGGGGATTTGTGGCACGTCACATAGTTAGAGCACTTCTGGTCACTATTATAAAAAAAACCATTACTCCCTGGAAGAAAGAATATTTCCTAAGCTGTTCCAGAATGTTTTTTTTAATAGAGAAGAGACCTAAAGCTGTATGGAAGTGAATTTCATTTTATATTAATTTAGTTTATTTAAAAGAATCAAAATGAGTAAAAATAATTTCAGCAACTTTTTCATATGACATTCTCTTTGTTGGTGCTATTACTGTTCTGCAGAAGTTATACTATTTTATACACTAGGAACCCTGTTTGAAAGCATCCACTCATACACTGTGTGGTAGGCCAAAGACCTCTATAATTAACAGTGGGGGGGTCTGTGCCCCAAAGATTTTGGTGATTCTGCAGTCTGTTTGATACCTTTTCTCTGTTTTATTGAAACATTAAATTTTGCATTTATCCAATCATAGTAAAATTTTAATGAGTATTAATATATTTTCTTTTTTAATACCCAATATTAGTTAGTTTCAAATTTTATTGGTATAGCTACATGTACCATCTATTTATGACATAGTCATTTCCTTAAACTCAATCTGCTTGATTTAAGCAAATGTTTGGGTTTACTTCATATACAAGTAAGCTAAAATTTTTCAGTGGAAGGAGGTGAGAACACAGATGGTGAAAATAGTGGAGACACCATGAATGGAGATAATGAAGCTGAAAGAGTTGATGAGGAGTCTGGTAATGAAAGTGAGAGTTCTTCAGATAAAGGAGAAGACTTTAAACTTCCATTAAAGTAAGTTGTATCATCATAATTAAACTTTGTTTGCTGTGGATGATGTACATGATGTTCTGGATTTAAAGCTATTGCTGTTAGTAGCAAACATGAAGGTTTGCATGAGTACTGAACTTTTTGAATGTAGGCAATCCAAAATAGTGTGTGTGTAGGAATAAAATTATCCTTTAGTTCAAAAGTAAGAAACATTGTTTAAACACCATGACAGTCATCTTAGTCTTTGTTCGGCTTATTAATTAAGATATATGAGAATAATAAGTTCATATTGCTATTGGTATTCGTAAAATAAAGTTGAATGTATAAACAAACTGAATTAGAACAGATGCCTGTACTTTAGGAAATGAATTTGTTCATGTTTATGTGATGTTGTAAATTAGAATATTTTATTAAGAAAAGTCTAAAGACATTAACATAAATATTACTTTAACAGTTATAGTCTTAGGTTTCATGGTGTTTCAAGAAAGTCTCTGTGTGTGCTTGTGTGTGTCGGGGAGGGGTCCTCTATATACAGTGTAAAATAGGATATAAAAAACTATTCCCTTAAACAGTAGATTAGTTCCTTATTTGTACCTGCTACATAAAGTAACACTTTAAAGTGAATTTAGCATATCCAAATTAGAACTTAGAAAAAAATACAGATTTTGTAAATATCAAATGTAAACCACAGGAGACTGGAACACAAACCTAGATTATGCTTTTAACACAATGTGTCTGTGGTCAACATTTTGTGCTTTTCATGACTTTTTAAATATACTTATCTCTGTATGAATACTTGAGAATAAATGAGTGGAGAAAATTCATCTCTGTAAGACCATTAATATACAGATGTTTTGACAGCTTCTTTTCCTCAAGCCTTAAACCATTTGTTTATGATTACCACAGTTGGTAATCATGATCCTCAAATAATTTTGAGAATGAGCAATTGCTTGAAATGTTACCATTATCTATCACCTTCATAGTAGTTTTTTTCTTAGTGAACAATTTGTGTTTTTGTATAATATTTTTCAAATAATAGAAATAACTTTATTGTTACAGAATTGAAGAAAAAACAAAGACAACTGTACATTTCATAAAAACTTCATTTATTCGTGACCATGGTTTCACCAATAAAGGCATCATCAGGTACTGGCAAAACCATACTCAGGAATAAATAAAGTTTTGTGAAATGTACAACTGTCTGTTTTTTTTTTCTTTAATTCTGTAATTATGGAGTTTCACCAAGTACTGATGGTTTCAAGTATCAACTTTATTGTTTTGGAACATGTTTGTATGTATAAATTTATTGCATCGATATAACGAGAAGTAAATGTTTAAAAGTTTTGCATGTAACAATATTTCTTATTAGTTTATTTCCTCTTTGCAGTGGGACAACCAGCAACAATATTCCCCTAATGAGGATAGCCCAGAGCATAAAACAAACTAAACGTATAAGTTCTAAAGTGCTCAAGGAAGGTTGGATGGTACACTATACAAATAAAGACAGCATGGTGAGATGTATAATTTTGAAACAATAAAAACAAGTCTTATTACCAACCTCTGCTAGAATAAGCTGTTCCATTCTTTTGTTTTTATGTGTATTGATGTCTCTTGTCCTTTGGTCATTATTCGGTGGATAGTGATTAAGCATTATAAAATATTACTCCTCAAACTACCAACTTGTTTTTATACTGTTCATTAGAAGTGAGGTCCATGTATTGCATGACATTGAATAGTTTCATAATTTTGACACTTGGAGTAAATAAATGACCAAAAAACTGGGTGAAGTCACTCATATTCCATGTAAAATGCCCAAGGAGTGGAATTAATTGCATTATTAATGGTTTTTGTTTACCTTTTTTTTTGTATAACTTGTATGTTATGAGGGACCATGTAACTAATAAAGTCATAGACCCATAAGCAAGTTGGTACATAAATAGTTTAAAAAAAAAAGTCTAATTCTAGAATTAACTTTTGGAAATTTCCTATAGATGGTTATTTTCAGTGATTTCACAACAGATTTTTGAAATTGAGAACAGAATGGAAAGTAGAGATAAAAAAATATGAAAATATTTTGGTAGGTTTTCAAATTAGATACAGTTTAATTGTGTGCATATATTTCATATTAAAAGTTAAGAATTTCAGGATGCATATATATATATATACTATGTATTTCAAAATCCCTCACAAATACAAAATTTTATATTCCTATTCATAATAATGCTTGCAAATAGTTCATTACATGAGATAAGAAAAATATTTGAATATATTTAACCAATCCTTGCCTCTTACAGAAACTAGAAAATACATGTATTTAATGTGAAACCATCATCTCATTTTCTTCCCTTTTTTTCCCTTGTGATATCCCAGAGAAAAAGACATTACTGGAGGTTGGATACTAAAACAATAACGATGTTTCAAAGTGAAACAACTTCCAAATACTATAAGGTAAGTTGCCATGTTGTTTTAACATGTATTTGGTTCCCAAGTTATTGTTTGGAAATTCTTAATAAATAATTACATTCTGTATCAGCTATTAGTATATGATTCATACACTATTTCAGATATATTTTACTTTTATCTAAAACACAGATTTCTTCCATTTAATGACTGCTGTGTTGGCAAATAAAAAAAGTAAATTAATTAAATAAGAAAATACATTATTGATCAGCATTTTTCTAAGCATATTGGTTATATCTAAAAACTTTGAGTTCCAATTAGTATATATAATTGTTGTTGTTTAAATTGCAATTTAAGTTTAGACTGTTTTGTAATTTTGAAATTAACTAACACATAAAAACACGTTTTCTGTTATGAGTGTCACATTTTTTATATTAGTCAAAAAATAATAAAACTAACAATGTAGGAAAAGCTCATTTGTTTTCTACTTTTCTTTAGGAAATTCCTTTGTCAGAAATCTTTACTGTAGAAACTGTAAAAGACAGATTAACTGCTGATAAATCGCTTCAAACACATTGTTTTGAACTCCGAACAGCTAATGTTGACTACTTTGTTGGGGAGGACCCAAACAAAGATTATAACTGGGAGGTTGCGATTCACCAAGCTTTGATGCCAGTAATGGCAACTCAGAATAATCGTTCATCAAGTAAGCAGGCTCACAGAAATTATTTTTTTACTTGATTTGGTTTTTACCATGATAGATGTAATCCTCCGAAACTTGTGTAATTTGTACCTAACCTTATGTTGATTGTATATGCTACACAAATGTTGTAGAGCAGTACACAGATAAGTTCTATAACAATTGTTAATTTATTGGTTCAATGTAAGAAAGATAATCATCAATTAGGAAAAGTATGAAAGTTGCTACAATTTGAAATTGAAACTTTCAGTAAAACTTTTTGATCTAAAACAACTTAATGATAAAAAAATTAACACACAAGGGTCCATTTTTTAGTTCTAACTTCATCAGTTTGTATACATTGTATACCAAATTAAAACATGTAGTCAACATCAATTTGAATCATTGTATTTCTGTCTTAGATGATACATCTGATGAAGAACAGCAACCTGAGAGTAACAAGGTAAACTAGAGTTTTTGTGAAAAAATGTCAGCTTCTTACTTAAGGTCTAGTTTAATTGCTTTACCAACAGAATGTACACTAATATGAAGGTATTTTTCATGGCTTTAATGATGACCTGAAGCAAAATTGTTTAAGTGTAGAATTAAATTTGGTTTTAATTGTTCCTTTGACTCACTATCTGAGGGTCCTGGGTTCGAATCCCTGTCCCACCAAACATGGGAACATTATAATGTGATGGTCAATCCCACTATTCGTTGGTAAAAAAGTAGCCCAAGAGTTGGCTGTGGGTGGTGATGTCTAGCTACCTTCCCTCTAGTCTTTCACTGCTAAAATAGGGACAGATAGTGCAGATAGCCCTTGTGTAGCTTTGCGAGAAATTCAAAACAACTTGTTCTTATAATTCCCAAAACTAGGAAAATGACTGCACTCTTATTTGCAGTTTCACAATAAAGTTTTAATCTAAATATATAATCAGTTTTAAATCGGAAGGTAAAGAGGTTATTAAATGATCCAATTTGGAAAGGTATACTATTTTTTACTTTTCTGATTTAATGTTTAAAATGTTAGTACTATATAGATCCAGAGTAGTTTTTTGAGCCATCTTGCAAATGCTTATTAAAGAAATGTACATGGGCTTGGTTCATTGGACTAACCTGATATTGGAAAAAGAATGTTAACTATAATTCTGAATTTACTATGTGCAGCTATACAAAATGTACAAGTTTGTTGTACACAAAACATCAGATAAGTTACAAAGTTATTTGTGTTCAAGATATGTCTGAATTAATAATGTCAGTCTGACCCAGACTCTAACAAATCAGAAAGCAATGTGATGTTCATGTAAAGATTAAGGATGCTTCTGTCCATTAAATAATTTACATATTGTACCTACATAACCTCTAGAACATCCAAACTGCATATCTACAGTTATTTTTTTCAGTATCCCTATATACATTGTATCTGGTATTTACTATCCTCTACCATAAACTGTCGTTAAATCAACAACGTGAACAGTTGATGAAATTAAATGAAATGCACAAAATGGTGCAAAAGGTGACAATGTAAATAATACATGTGAATATTTAAAAACTTGTCCTCATTGCTGTAAGTATTTTATAATTGTGAATATTTAACTGATTAGTTATTGAATCTGAATTTGAGGGATTTTAGCCATAACTGTGTAAGAAGAAAACTGCTCAAACAGTAGGTTAAGTATCTGCTGGAAGAAAACCAGTTATATTAAGTTAGTCAAGGTAAGATAACTTGTCACTTGGTGAGGGACATTTTCAAAGACTGAACAACAAAATAAGTCAAGTAGGTAATAGAGATGATGTGTAGGTAATAGAGATGATGAGAAAAATATAAATCTATGGTCAGTAATGTATAAAGCAAATCAAGTTACATAGAACTTGTATGTCACTTTTTTATCTTCACAGCTCCTTTTCATGTGTTATATTCTAATGCATGTAAGTTAAAGACATTATTAATTTTTCAGTTCATAATGTAGTGTTCCTTGTTCTGCTCGTAATTGTTTTTTTTTTATTATTATTAATGGTAGGATATTAGTCGCATGTACCAGATTATTCCAGATGAAGTTCTTGGTTCAGGACAGTTTGGTATTGTGTATGGAGGTCAGTGTCATTACACTCTAATCCAATTGTTTTTTTTGTTTTTTTTCAGACTTCACTTATGAAGCACTTTCTATGACTTGCTAAGTTAAAATGTAAAAAAAAACTGTTTTAAGTTAGTCTAAAGTTATCCAGTCATTAATCTTGGATGCAGAAACTTAGAAAAACTTCTATCTCTCCCATTACATGGTTTAAGTATTGATTTAAAAATGTGAACACAGTTGTTACTTTATAGATTTGAAAAAACAATTTGATTATAAGTAAGTACCTTACAGATGGAAATATGTATAAACTTTCCTTGGATCTTATAGGCAACCCAAAGTAGCAAGGTTACCATAATTTAACTTTTTATTGTGCAAGGATTACTTTAAAAAAATAGTAACACTTTACAAATATTTTTTTTCATCAAGTATTACTTAGGTCATGTGCCTCCAGTAATTGAGCAGTAAGCTTGAAGTATTATAATGTTAGAACTTGAGGTTCAAACCCCATGAAAGACACAGTGCAAACTGCCCTTTATTAAGCTTTATACTAAAACAAACGTAGGTCACACACACACACTTCTGTGTATGTCTTTCTGTATATCTGATAATTCTTCTTCATACAACTGAAGAAGTTCTAAAGAAATCATGATCCCTGTCTGTCTCTCCAGATCTTAGTTATTTCAGATCTTTATATGGCAAGAGAGTCCATTTAATCAAATGTTTGAGTCTGTTAGATTGAAAAATGCTGCTGTTTAAAATACTTTCTAATATTTGACGAATAAGATTAAAATATTAACACTTTCCACAATTTTCTAATTAGAAATTTAGAATTGATGATTAAATTTGTATTTTGGATCCCTCTGTTAGACTACAAATTTGTTTTATAGTTCTGTAGTACAAGTATCTCTCACCAGTAAATCCTGAAATGTTTTTCTGGGATATCATAAATTCTATTTAGAAACTCATTATACACACAAGGCATCATGTGTTATTTCTTTTCCCCACTGTAGGAGTGCATCGAACAAGTAGTAGAACTGTGGCAATTAAAGTGATAGACAAGACCAAGCTGCCAACCAAGCAGGAGGCCCACTTAAAGAACGAAGTGATTATACTTCAGAATATTAATCATCCTGGTGTAGTGACTTTGGAGAAGATGGTGGAAACTCCTGCCAGAGTAAGAATGTACTTCATCTTTTTGTAACTCCTGCTTTAACAGTTAGACATATAGCTCTTTTTATAAATTTTCTTACTTACTAGTTTTAACAATACGTTATGATTCCATTCCAGATTTTTGTTATTATGGAAAAACTAAAAGGGGATATGCTAGAAATGATTCTGTCAAGCGAGGAACGAAGATTGTCTGAGAGAATTACCAAATTTATTGTTTACCAGGTAAGCTTCAAGTTTTTAGAAGTCTTGCACACGATATTTGTCTTAACACAATAATATCATGGATATATTATTGATATGACTTGTGAGTAATACCCTTTGAAAGATGTAAAAAATGGTTGTTACATCATAATTGTTGATTGTTTTCACTAACTATATATATGCAGTGACTTAATTAGTAAATAATAGCAGTATATGGACTAAACAAGTTAAATAAACTTCACTAATACGTTAGTTTTGGTACAAATTGTAATACACAAAAAATTGTTTCAAAGTTAAAGGGTTTAGCTTTATATTTTGAAATTGCTTGACAGTTTTGCTACGTACCTTAAAATATATTTTGCAAATATATCTGTTTTCTTCAGATTCTTATTGCACTGAAACATCTGCATTTCAAAAACATTGTTCATTGTGATCTAAAGCCAGAGAATGTGCTCCTGTCCTCTGATTCAGATTTCCCTCAGGTAAACAGTAGAAAGAAATGAGAAAATGTTACTTGTAGAATTTTCGTAATTTTATCACATAAACTAAAAGCAAACTTGCATTTAAAATTTGAAACAGATTAATCACTGGGCAGTTCAATTGTATTTTTTTTCTAATTATTATTATTAGCTTTATTTGTTATTTAAGTAATCACGGAGATTAATGCACTTTACACAAAAATGTAAGGGTAATCAGTATCTATAATGCCATAGCTATAAAAAAAGCCAGATTATAAAATAATGTCAGACACTCCTCTCCAGTTCAGATATCTGATGACTAATCATGTGACTTTAAATGTGAATGATTACTCATATAGCCTTTGCTGTATGTTGTGGCCTGATGCAAGTTTGGCTCGCATATTACTTTGAAGTGAATCATGGAATTTTAAGTGCTTCATATTGTTTATAAAACATGACTAGAAGGCATAGATACTTCACTTGTCTATTTGATTGATGAAAGTAAGCCAAATATAGCAGGCTGTTATAAAGTAACTCAGTTCCTCTAAGCTTTGTAAGCATAACATTGAACTGCTTCAAACCAATGGTACAGTTTGCTATGACACCCGAAGAATACAGATCATCTTCCATAACAGAAGTAAACAACTGCTACCCATTGATTTTGGATCACTATGTTGGAAAGGAGCCTGGTTCAAGGCTGATCAGATGTTCTGTTGTTAATGTACAGGTGGTTAGTAACAAATATCACATCTGAATAAAGTGCATTGCACTCACTGCATAGCAATCATACAAGTATTGGAAGTCCTGTTCCCTACACACTTAAGCTTCTACTGTGATGTTACATCTAAACTTCTCATTTTTTAACAATATTTTCATTTACCATTTCATCTACAGTGTCTCTCTTGACAATTTCAAGTTTCTCATTATTTTGTACATTGTATTGAAAACTCTCTTTTTTTTTCAGAGAAAGTTAATGTTTTTCATTTCAACACATGTAAATAATTCCAAATAAAATAAATACTGCATGGCAGAAAAATTCCATTATTAATTGTTACTTAACTGGAAAAAGAATTTTGCTGTATGTTGTACTAGATAGCAGGTGAAAAAAAAAAAGTGGCATTAAGTTGTAGTGAGGACTTGTTCCTTAATTTTACCTGACTTGTTCGATAAATTTACTCCAATGAATAAAATGGTAAAACCTCATCTCTGAAAGATCTCTTATGATGTATCAAAACAGCTGTTTGTATTAATATATTTTGAGTGCACAACCACCCATCTCTAAAAGATCTCTTGTAGTGTATAAAAACAACTATTTGTAACTTTGCATGTTCATTTGAAGAAACAGTCATCTGTGAAAGGTCTCTTATGATGTATCAGAATAACTGTTTATCAATTTGTTTCTTTGAGTGAACATGCAGTCATCTGTGACAGGTCTCTTATGATGTATCAGAATAACTGTTTATCACTTTGTTTCTTTGAGTGAACATGCAGTCATCTGTGACAGGTCTCTTATGATGTATCAGAATAACTGTTTATCACTTTGTTTCTTTGAATGGACATGCAGTCATCTGTGAAAGGTCTCTTGTGACATATAAAAACAACTGTTTATAACTTTATGTTAATATCTTTGAGTAACATGCAGATCCAAGTTTTCCACTTCACTTTTTTTTACCAACTAAAAAATGTTTTCTTATAGGGAATGGTATGTTTTAGTTTCACTTTTTCTTCATGTTATGTTAAAATGTAAAAAATACATAACACTGAAAGTTCCCAGTATTTTTATTTTCTGTACTGTAATTGACATACTTGAATAAATTAAATTATTGGATAAAAAACAGCTTGCAAAAAACAAAGTCAAATATTGTAATATCAAACTCTGTTATCTCTAATACATAGATGATGTTGAAGTCAGACCTCATTCTGATAGCTAATACTATATGCATATTGTAGATAAAAAATTAGATAAAGGTCCCAGATCGGCTATCTTGGTCCTCTTATATCTCACATTTCTATAGTCCCTGACACTGACATATTGATGTTTGACTGTGTTCAATAAATACCGAAAATTTTTAATTTTAAATATAGTTACAGGAATAACCAGAATTTCTTGGCTCTTGAACTGCCTGTAGATCACCTTTGATAAGTGTTACTCAGTAGTTACTGAAAGAAAATACACAACTTTTTTTATAGGTGAAACTCTGTGATTTTGGATTTGCCAGAATTATAGGTGAAAGATCATTCAGAAGATCTCTGGTAGGAACTCCAGCATATTTAGGTAAGTAAAGTTGTGAATCATGATGTGAAAACTAGCATACTTTACATAGGTGCAACTTAAGGGGCAGTTGCTCCCACATGTATTTAATATCATTTATACGAGAAGAGTACACATGTATAAAATGTGTAGTTTCTGCTATTTCAATAGTTATTAAATAATATATGAAATAATCAGAGCAAATACTCCCAAAATAGATTAATTTTTACATTTTAACATGTATAAAGTCCAAACAGCAAAGATGCCTGTGTTATATGCAGCGTTTAACATCACTTTCCTTTGGCATTGGCTTCACTTAGTAAAATTAATATGGCTGCCAAATTTGACCCATTTATTCAATTGCCTATGTATTTAATCTTGATCTGTGGGTAGTCTGAGTCCTTCTACTAAATTTGATCAAACTTTGTGCAACCAGTTCTTCACAACATGATTTACAATCTTTTCTGGAAGAACAACTACACTGGAGTGCTTTAGTAATAATTGTTCACACTTTTAAAGTTCTAGAAAGAATATTACTGTATGTAATGTATCAAACAACAATGCTATCAATGTAATGTATCAATCAACCATATTACTGTTGGGGTAAAATAAATTACAAATTTATTAAACACTCTAAAAGTTTTACAAATCTTAAAAATTAATTAATGAGTAATACCTGGCCAGGACTCTAGAACTAAATATCTCAAATAAAATATTCATAGAGGAAAGAGGAGCATTGTCATTATCAATCACAAACTTAATGTGTAAGGTTATATAAAAGAACAATATTAGGCCTGGCATGGCCTGGTGGTTAGGACACTTGACTCGCAATCTGAGGGTCTCAAGTTCAAATCCCCATCATCGAACATGCTCATTCTATATGGCTGCCATCTGGGCCAGCCACCTGGGTATGAATTCTTAGCTTCCAAAATTACTGGCAAACCCCAAACTATATATAATATAGAAAATATATAAATTAACTATTTTAAACACTTAAACAAAAATGAGTATCTAAAATAATAAAGAAATGTATCTAACTTATTGCAGCTCTTTCTCAACTTCAGATTGAAGGATTTTTTTATTTACTAGTCAGACCAAGACATTAAATATGAAGTGCTTGACAGAATTGGAACCAGTTTTATGGAACTATAAATTTTTTTGTGATGTGTTAAATTTATTTATATATATTTTGTTGATGATGTGTTATATCTTAATTGCAGCACCCGAAGTAGTTAGAAACAAGGGCTACAACAGATCACTGGACATGTGGTCCGTTGGGGTCATACTTTATGTCAGGTAAGAATTGCAGTGGCTAATAATAGGTACGTTGATTATTATATCAGTACCAGTGTCAATAGTACCATTACCAGTAAATATTGATATTGATGATTCAAACTACCATAAGATACTGATACCAGAAAATAAGTTAATCAATTTTGAAAATAATAAATTGTTCAAGATGTTGGTGATGTCTGAAATTGATATGTGCTGGCTCTTTCTGAATTTATTCCAGCATCCAAAAACTAATTTACCAATTTTTAAAGTATTATCAGTATTGGCTGATAGCCAGATGCAAATATTGGTTATTGGTACTATTAGCAAAACATATTAGCTGCACATCTCTATATTTTACTAAACTAAATTAAAAAATAGAAGAAAATGAAAGCAGTTACACAGATTTCTTTGTTTATTTATGTATCTTTAGGTAGGAAAAATAGAACTAGCTACAGAACTCTTTGTGTCAGCAAACATTAGATAATAGAAAGTCACAGAGGTATATGTATATTTGTGTTCTTACTTTTATTTTACTGCTTTTCCATAGTTGCATATATAAGTAGAGAAAATTGCACAGACTAGTTAAAAAGACTTCTCTTAAGCACAAAGTTCATTGCTCAACCTGATTGCTTTTTGACATTGAGGATTTGTTCACAGGCAACATATACCATGTTTAAAAGTAAAAGTATATCGGTATATTTTCACTTTTTCTTGATAAGATAAGTATACTACTTCTTTTGCATGTATAGTTGTTTTAATCTTGATACAGTTTTTAATTTTTTTTATGAATAGCTGAATTATTTGCACATGATTGATTCAAGGGTTTTAATTTCCAAGGTATATAGTTTTTATACCTGTTCATTATTTATTGTGAATAGGAATTTGATTTTCGTTTTATTTTATGATTAGATCTGTTGAATAACTGTTCATTTTTGTTTTTTGACAGTTTAAGTGGAACATTCCCTTTCAATGAGGAGGAAGACATTCATGACCAGATTCAAAATGCTACCTTTATGTACCCACCTAATCTTTGGAAGGAGATATCACCTGATGGTTGGTTTTATCATTGATTAAGTTTAAATGATAATTTTCACACAAATGTTTTCCTCCCAACATCAATGAAATTGCCTAAATAAATTGTGTAATAATGTGATATCCAGTTTAATAGAATAACATTTGCTCATACGCATGTCTATTATCATTCTTCTTTATTTCCCTATCAAAGGCAGTTGTAATAATTTCTTAATTAAACGTAAAGAAGAAAATATACACACACACACACACACACGTGTGTGTGTGTGT